GTCCCTCGGCCCTTAAAGGGGAAAGGTTGCCTACCCCTGTTATAAGGGTTCTCCTCCACCTGGCTTTCTCCTGAGAAGGCCAGGCAGTGGAGGAGAAAGAGGGGCAAACATTCATCCCTCAAGGCTCCTCCATCGCTTGGCCTTCTTCTGAGGAGAGCTCCAAGCAGAGGAGGACAAGGACAGGCAAGGCTCCTCTGCTACTTGGCTTTCTCCTGAGGAGAGGGCCAGGCAGAGGACGATGAGGATGGAATTAATATTAATTCTAATTTAATTAAAACCTATCTGCGGCCCTAAGAAGTTTAGCCTATTTTTAATTTTGGCCCTTACCTACAGCCAAGTTGTGCAGGCCTGCTCTACATGCTTCCCTCTCCCCTTATGTCCAATTGTTTAGCAATCTGCAAAGTCCTCAGAGTTAAATTCTATGTTTATTTCTCCTACGTTTATTTTTCAGGTTCCCTTTGCCCTAAGCACTCTGTTAACTGGTTATTTTTAAATCAATAGGGGTAAAAGTCTAAAAATACACTTTAACAGCGTTACTGCAATTAAAGGCACCACCCTGAAAATGACAGAAAAACTGATTACACACACACACAAAAACACACATTCCTGCTTTAAAGTACAAAACACGAGAGACCTCTAAGAGACAACTAATAATTAGCAGAAAGTCATTCAGTTTTGCTTCACTGTCTCAACACTTTAGCAATACATCTCCCAATCAACAAAATTTTGACACATTATTCAAATTAGACAGCATTATTCAAATTATGTGGTCCATTTATGGAATGAAAAAGGATTCAAGCAGGAATGAGCACTATCTCCTTATTTAAACCTTATGTAAGCAGACAGGACTCATAGCAATTTGCAGAACAACCAAACAGTCAGTCTATCTACTCTGGAGTAGGTACCACTAAATTCAACACATTATTATTATTATTATTATTATTATTATTATTATTATTGATTTTCAAATAATGCAAAGCAATATGTTTAACAAAGGAAATACAAGACAGCAAAACATGGATGCGATCTTTGCTGTGAAAACATCACACATATTAAATGCAACCCAATGTAATATTTATTTTATTTATTTATATTTTTACTCAATTTATATTCTGTCTTTCCGCTCCCAATGGGACTTAAGACAGCTTTGTTGTTACTGTGTGCCTTCAAGTCATTTCTGACTTAGGAAGGCATATCCAAATATAGTCTTGACCCATGTTTTTTTGCTGCTCTGCTGATGAAAGCTGAACTCTTAACAAGTTTAACTTTCATACCTGCATATTTTAGTTTACCTTTAAAACGGTTAACACCCTGGGAAACCGAAACTGCACCCCACAATATAGTTTTAAGTTATTGCATGTCTATTGACTGTAAATAAAGATTGATGATGATATCACAGCAGGGCATGCTAAGAAATTTAAATGGTAGCCAAACCTTGCTCCCAAGACATCAGAAGTAAAACCATGCTACGTTGGTGGAATTTCTGGCAGCTGACTTAAGATGGAATTGAGAAGACATAAAGACTTCTTGTTACTGTGTGCCTCCAAGTCATTTCTGACTTAGACACCAAGGCAGGGGTAGGCAACCTAAGGCCCGGGGGCCGGATGTGGCCCCCCGAGGCCTTTGGACCGGCCCCGCCACCACCGCCGCCGCCTGCCATGATGATATTATTGTTGTTATTACTTGTTCTTGGGGTTTTCTTGGCAAAATCTCCACAGGGGTTTTGCCATGGCTTTTCTGGGGCTGAGAGAGTGTGCATGCATATTTTTAATTTTTTTTAATTTATTTTTTAAATTTTAATATTTATTTATTTATTTATTTTTGGTGCTTCGGCCCCCCAATTGTCTGAGGGGCAGCAAGCCGGCCCCCGGCTCAAAAAGGTTGCCTACCCCTGCACGAAGGTGAACCTAAAGTAAAGGTAAAGGTTTCCTCTTTGACATGATTCCCAAGTCATCTCCAACGGTCTGAGGCAGTGCTCATCTCCGTTACTAAGCCAAGGGAATCAGTGTTGTCAGAGACTACCCCGTAATCCTGTGGCCAACATGACTGCACAGAGCGCTGTTTACCTTCCCAACAAAGTGGTACCTATTTATCTACTTGCACTCTTACACGCTTTTGAACTGCTAGGGTGGCAGAAGTTGAGACTAGCGACAGGAGCTCACCCCATCACACGGCACCTGGGCCTCGAACTGCCAACCATCATTAAATCACCATTAAATCTTGTTAATAGTGTGATCGGGGGAGAGGAGATGGTCACACCCTGTGCGCTTCTCCCGTTCTTGTCCCATCTGTAAACAGTAATGGAGGCGTCATTTGGTATTAATGGAAACTCCCGCTAATACAGTTCACCTGTGTGCCATATGTGGGCTTGCCATACGCGGCTTTGAGTACGGCAAGCCTGGCAGGAGCACGCCGCCATATAAATGAATGGGACTTAAGCGCAGGGGTAGGCAACCTGTCCCCTTTAAGGGCTGAGGGACTTCAGCTCCCAGAAGCCTCAGCCATGTTGGCCAATAGTCCCATGTTGGCCAATAGCTCCTGGGATTCTGGGAGCTGATGTCCCTCGGCCCTTAAAGGGGAAAGGTTGCCTACCTATGGCTTGGATGGTCCTAACTTGACTGTTCAGTTGTATATCCCTCTTCTTCCATAGCTGCCCTCCCCATTCCTACTCTTCTGGTGTCACAACAAACTACAAATCCCAGGACTCCGCCACAGGATGGAGCCAGGGCAGTTTCAGCGGGGTCAAGCTCAGGGGGACCAGATGTCCTCATAACCACCAAGGAGGACAAGGCACCGCAAAATGGAGGGCTTTCAAGAACAAATGGAGGACGCTCCAAGATGAAAGCTAAAAACACTCCTAGAAATGTAAATGCATGCTTCTTAGTCATGCTCAAAATGGAGGACATTATGGGACCCCTCCTGGACAGAAAAGAAAAGCCAAAAACACTAATATATGAATATAAATCCTCGCTTCTTAGTCATGCTCAAAATGGAGGACATTATGGGACTCCTCTTGGACAGAAGGCTGACTAATGTAGGACGCGTCCAGGAAAAGGAGGGCCGCCTCTTGGCCTCCTACCTTCAGAACGCTGTGCCTCCAGGGAGTGGGCGGGGCCTTCTCGGCGCCGGAAGTCCGGGCAGCTCTGCTGGCGTCCGGCTTCGGCCCGGCCTCGGGTGCTCCGCCTGCTTCCGGTCCCCGCCTTTCCCGGCCCCCTCCTTCTGAGCCGTGCTTCGTGGTGGTTTCTTCCCCCGCCATGGCGGACTCCGGGCTGACGGTTCCGGAGCGCTCGCTCACCGACGACGAAATGGCGGAGGTGAAAAAGGAAGTAAGTCGAGAGCGAGGGAGAAAGAGGAGAGGAAGGGCGGCTGCCGGGTGCCTCAAGGGCAGGGCTTGGAAGTGGCGCCGTTCTGGACTGCAGCTCCCAGAATCCCTCAGCCACTCTGGGGACTCTTTGTGGTTGTTGTGTGCCTTCCTTTCCGACTTATGGCGACCCTATCATGGGGTTTTCTTGGCAAGCTTTGTTCAGAGGGGGTTTGCCATTGCCTTACCCTGAGGCTGAGAGAGTGTGACCCGCCCAAGGTCACCCAGTGGGTTTCATAGCTGAGCCGGGATTCGAACCCAGGCCTCCAGAGTCCTAGTCCAACACTCAACCCATTACACCACGCTGGCTCTCTGAGGGACTGTATCCCCTCAAACAAATAACTTTTGCAAGCTCTGGGAAATGGACTTGTGAAGGGAGATGCGGAAGTATGGAGGGTTGGAGTTGGAGGAGGGAGGCTTTCTTTGGAGGAGGAATTTGTGGGGCACTCTGTCCATGCTCTACATTTATCATTATTGTTGTTGTTGTTGTTGACCAGGGGTAGGCAACCTTTCCCCTTTAAGGGCCGAAGGACTTCAGCTCCCAGAAGCCTCAGCCACGTTGGCCAATAGTCCCATGTTGGCCAATAGCTCCTGGGATTCTGGGAGCTGAAGTCCCTCGGCCCTTAAAGGGGACAGGTTGCCTACCCCTGTTGTTGACTATTGACACTGTTGTACCTCCAACTTGTTTGCTACTGTAAAGCTTCCATGTGAAGTACCTGTGATTGCCCTTCTCTGTGTGTGTATTTGTGTGCGCCTTCAAGTTTACTTATGGCAATCCTATGTAGGGATGCAAAAGCGGATAAAAAGAGAATCAACTCCTTTGGGATGTGGTGCTGGAGAAGAGTGCTAAGGATACCATGGACAGCCCAAAAGACAAACAAATGGGTCTTTCAACAGAGCAAGCCTGAACTCTCTCTGGAAGCCAAGATGATCAAATTGAGGCTGTCATCTTTAGCCACATCATGAGAAGGCAGGATTCACTATAAAAGACAGTAATGCTAGGTAAGGTAGAAGGTAGTAGAAAGCGAGGAAAACCACATTCCAGATGGCTGGGCTGAATCAGGGAGGTCACAGGCCTGAATCTTCAGGGCCTAAGCAGAGCAGTGGAGGACAGGGGGTCTTGGAGATGTCTCATCCACAGGGTCTCCATGAGTCGGTCTTGACTCCAAGGCAGTTAACAACAATGAATTTCATAGGGTTTTCTTAGTCAAGAAATACTCAGAGGTTGCTTTTCAAGTTCCTTCCTCTGAAGCATACCTTACAGCACCTGTTACTCCTTAGCAATCTCCCATCGAAGTACTAACCAGGGCTGATCTTGCTTAGCTTCCAAGATCAGATGGGATCTGGTGCCTTTGTATTTAGGCAATGTACAAGAGATTAAAATAAAATGCTGGGATTCAAGGTGTTTAACACCATTAAAACAAATACAGTATAGATGAAAATGTGTGTATATGTACCTTCAAGTCGTCTGTTGGCTTAGGGAAACCTCACAAATATCATGGTTTTTCTCAGACAAGGGATACTCAAAGGTGGTTTTCCCAGTTCCTTCCTCTGAAATATACAGTCTCTGCAGTTTCCTCGACAGTTCCCCGTCCAAGTCCTAACCAGGGTGACCCTGCTTAGCTGCCAAGATAAGATAGGATCTGGTATTTTTATGCCAGGTGTGTCTTTTCCTGTCATTGAAGACGGTGTGGGGTGGGAATTGGCACCCTACAGAAATGTGTATCTTTTTGTATTGGGGGCTCATGTAAGAATCCTTCTATCTGTCCAACAGGAACAGTTCAGCCTCCTGGTCACTAATGGAAGAGTGGGATTCCCAGAAACTGGATGCCAGGGCTTTTTCTTCAAAATCTTTCAGGGCACACTGTTCAGTGGAAGAGCGTGCTTTATTATTATTATTATTATTATTATTATTATTATTATTATGCCATGTCTGGCCTCTCTGGTTAAAAATCTCCCATCCCTTTGAGTTTCCAAGAGCTTCCTCTGTTCTCTTATCCCACTTTGTTGTCTCAGCCCCATCAGCTTTTGATCCTGGGTTCAAAACACCCTGCAGAAATAATCCAGTTTGAGACCACTTTAAGTGCTCAAGATCAATGCTAGAGAATTCTACGAACTGTAGTTCTGTGAGACATCTATCTTTCTCTGTCAGAGAGCTCTGGTACCACAATAAACTACAATTTCTAGGATTCCCTAGCTCTGAGCCAAGGCAGTTATGCAGTGTGGTTTGGACCCTGGAATCTAGTATAATAGGGACAAAATAAAAGGGTTTGAAGAAAGGGCTGTATTGGAAATGAATGTAATGGTGAGAACTGTGAGCAATGAACATCACTCCACTGATAGACAGCATTTTCAGCAAAACACCTTTGGATTTCCATTTTGGCAATTAGCATTCGCTAATCTCTGGAGTTTGAGGGTCATTTGGAGAATGAAGTTGTTGCTTGGCAGATCAGTTGGCTGGTGAAATCAAAGGACCATGCCTTGATCACTTCCCAGACTTAGCTGTCTTAACAGTGGTGTGCTTTCATACATGATCAACACACTTAGTAACAACCTCTAAAACAACACAAAAGGAAGGTAAACCTCCTATCTTTCATTCAAAATCAAGGAAAACCCTTGGCTTGAGGCTTGTTCGTGATTAGAAAAGCATGAAAAGAGGAAGGTTGATCAACCCAATGGCATGTGTTCTGCCCCAGTTTGCAAATTTGTATGTAGGAGGCTCTCCTGGAGAGTTTAGAGGAATTCCCCTCTTTCGTAGTTGAGCTTGACACACACATGAGTCAATGGAAGTTATTTTTCTTCTTGCACTTGATCCAGTTTTGTTTTTTCCTGTTATAAAGTCTAGTGGCTGAAGGTTAATAAAGTTAATGTTACACCTTTATGGTTAAATTTTCTTTTTGTTTCTATATTAAATACTTTGGTGATGTTTAGCCTTCATAACTTTCTGCCCATCTGTTAATGGCATTGATGGACAGGTATGAGTTAGTTTGTCATCACTTGAAAGCCAATATGAGCATTTGATGTATGTTTCAGGCTGATTATGAAGTTTTTAACTAGCAGAAATACACAGCTTCACATAGCTTAGAAATGTCTTAGTGCTCTAATTTGCCCCACTGATCTTTCCTTCTCACTCCCTAAGTGCTCCTTTTCTCTCTTCATGCATCATTGTGGGGGGGGGTCTTCTTTTCTTCCCCCACTCTGATGCTCTATAGTGGTCCCTCTAAATTCACTGGGGTTAGGGGTGAAAGACCCCTGTGAATGTGGAAAACCCACAAATAAAAAACTATTCTTTTTACCTAAGAGAACACCTCTCTTGGTCAACATTTATGGTCAACATCTGCAAGAATTTGATCATAGAATCATGCTGGAAGACCCTCATATGCCTAGAGAAGT